CTGCAATCACTCCCACCAGACTGTGTGGTTCATTTGCACCACCTAACAGTCCACGTTCTGCCACAAGGCTCTAACCACGTCTGCCTTATCATGCATCAATATTCAATTTAAAAATTGCACAGCGCCCCTAGCCTCCAACACCCCCCCCCCCCCCCTTTTTTTTTTCAATGCCCCTCTATAGGGTCTCGGGCCCTCCAATGTTTTCTTTACATCATCTCTCCTGTCATGGGTTGTCTAGTGGAAAGTTCTAGAAATGACCTTGACATCAGGCAAGCCTTTGGATGTACAAACGGAGAAGGTCAATATGCGCTGAACCCGGAAATGAAAAATACGATGCAATGTCACGCATGAAACATGAACTATTTTACAGACGCATCTGAGCGTGAACAAATCTGCAGGAAATGGATTGATTTCTTTGATCAGGGGTGAGCAATTTTGGGGAGATATATTATGTACATACACATAATACATTAATTCGTTGAAACCACACACTTTTGCACACACACCTCATCATCATATTCATACAACAGGTCCTTTGCAGAACGTCGCTCTCATCACGGTCTGGCTGGAAGAAACTCGGTCTCTGGCTCGATATCGCCCCGCCGTGTGCACTTTCATGTCCAGGGTGTCAGTTGTATCATGTGCCCATCTTCATGCTGGTCGGTCCCTGCTCCGCTTTCCCGGAACCATGCCTCCTGCAATTATTACTCCAAATCCAAGTGACGCTTCATCAGTTCTCGTTATGCCTAGTGGCACATGAGGATTCAGAGAGGACTTTCCACGCTTTCCTGTCCTGTGCAATCTTCAGTGCAGTTTTCCATGTCAAAGATGCCACACTCAGGTCACTTTCCATCGTTCGTCTCAATGTTGTTTTTGGGCGCCCCTGTTTTCTCTTTCCCTCTGGTGTCCATGTGAGAGCTGTTTTGGCAGGTATATCAGAATTCATTCTCATAACGTGGCCAAGCCATTTCCATCTTCTCTTGGTTATCATACTGTCTAAAGTTTCTTGGTTTGTGACTTGAAGTAGTTTAGTGTTTGAGATTGTATCTGGTCAGTGACGCTTGATATGGCCAAAATGTGTCAGTTTCCGAAACAAGATGTTGTTTACTAGCTAATCTAAACTGATAGTTTTTTTTAAGATGTCAAGATTTATCACCCCCCCCCCCCCCCACCAACCCCTCCTCCCCCAGTCTATTGTATTCATGAGAATGTAAAACAAAAGAAAATAAGCAACTGAAGTCTCAAAGATGAACGCTTGGAAGGGCCGAATGTAAGACGGACCTGCGTGCTCAATTTGTAACTTTTGAAATAAAGTTCGTTCGTTTGTTCATATTCTGAGAATCTTTTTACCTAATTTCAGCCCCCAATACCGTACTATCTTCTCTAAAAGCTGCAAGACAGTCCAGGACATACGTCCGTATGTGGCACATGAACGATGACTGCTTGCTCTCAGCATTTCGACTTTAATTTCTTTGCTGGTGCTCACTGATAGGGTCTCAAATAGCTTTTTAAAACTGTAATAACATTCAGCTTAAATTCTTGTCCGTTTTCAAAGTCTGTAGCTCCGCTGTTGTCATCCGTAAGATCAAATCTTTCTTTTTTTCTGACAGCACACAGTACCGGCGACTTTTTTAATGCATCTTTCTACAACTCCACTGAAACAGGTATTTCACTGTTGATTGTTCATTTTTGAGATTACCTTTATCGCATATCAGACATGACCATAAGTGCTCCGATCTCATCCTGATTATGTTTCCAAATGTTTTAGGCTAATAACTCCCAACTGACAACCATCCGCATCTTTTTAGGAGCAGAAACAAGTCCCGGGTAACAGCAAATGTGTATGTTTGTTTACATTTCATGTCTTACTACGCTGTTGCCATGTCTGCCCTCGCGCATCCTTGTGTTTCCTATGCTGTCAATCATGAAATCTAAAGTGCCTTATATCTGTGACGTAATAAACTGGGCCAGTCACAGATGACCTTGTCAAGATCAATGCCATTCACGCGACAGAAAGGTGAGAGGTCAAATAGCCAAGGTCAAATGAACGTATATGGTATATAGCTAGTTTCAAGTGGTTAAAGGAAATATCATCATCATCATTCAGCAAGTTTCGTAATGCCGGGACGCCGGATTCGATCCCAGCTGCAGGCCATGCGCCTCGCGTTGGTTTCGACAGTGATATCAAGAAAGCCTACCGTCCTGAATGCAATGGCAAACTACTGGACGTAAATTTGCCTAGAAAAACCACACAACAGCCAGGAACTATTTGGGTTGGTTCTGCAACGTCCTGCAAAGGATACGCAACTAACTATTCAGTAAGTGCCTTGCCAGCTGGCGTAGGCGATCATGCATCTCCACAGATCTAGTTCTTTAATGCTCTGGATTAATTCCACTGACGATATTTCTACATGTCACTGTCTTAAGACATCCACTATCGTTTCTCTTGGTCTGCCTCTGACTCTTCTACCAGTGATCTTTCCAGTCGTCTCGATATTTAACAGTGCTCCTTTTCTCACTATTCGACCAAAGAACTTTCTTTGTCTCCTTCTCATTGTTGTATATAATGTTCTACTTTCACCGACCATTTCCAGGCAATCATTGCTAGTTATTCTGGCAGTCCAATGTATTCTCAACATTCTTCTCAAGAACCACATCTCAGTTGCCTCCAGACTGTTCTTTATTTGTTTGCTCACATTCCAAGATTTCTTGCCAGACAACAGAACAGGCTTGATGTAACATTCCAGTACTGTTTTCTGATGTTTAATGAGATTAAAGAAAATGTACGTTTTCTGATACAGAGATATGTATACTTTAACTGGGGATAAAATATAATGAATGCCGTTATGCTGGTTCAGTGGCTGAAAGCAGTCGTATTATTATTATTATTTTTTTAAAGACGCGAAAATAGGTTTAATAGCACTGGATTTTTATTTCCCTCCCCCCTCTCCCCCTCTCTTTCTCCATCTCTAACGCACACGTGGAGTCGCCCACCAAAAGCGTCGTACAAAACACGAACTCAGTAGCTCCAGCAACGATCGTCAGGGATTTTAAAAATTATATTTGTTTCCCGTGTGGTTTTAGGGGCCACACTGTAGGAAACACACTAAAAGACCTACTGTCTCTCTAACAAGCATGTCGTAAGAGTCAACTGATTGGTTGCTTTCTTTGAAGTCGAAGTGTATCTGCCTGAAAGGCAAGGAACCAACAATCTGCGTACAAATAAGTCAGATGTGTAAAACGTATGTACACGCAACAATCAGGTTCAGAACCAGACTAAAATCTAGAGATGGACGAACAACCAATACTTTCCGCCCAAGTTTACAGCCTGTGAACAGCGAAGAAGAAGAATAAGAAAGAGATTATATTCGTAAGCCGAAACAAATGAGGCCGGAAAACCAACTGACGTCTTGACAGCGTAAGGCTAACAGCTTCATTACGTAATTTATATAAGTTCTATTTCCTATTCGTTCGTCAGAAAAATGGCGGTCGGCATATTGGGTTGTTTACAGCTAGGCACCTTTCAGCTCAACACATCCGATTTTAACAAATCCGTGATTATTCACTTCTTAGGACACGCTTGTTAATGGACAGGGGAATGTAACTCCCCCCTCCACACACACACACACTTACTTACTCACTCACACACACACCCACACACACACACACACACTCACACACACACACTCTCTCTCACACACACACACTCACACACACATATATATACACACACACACATACACACACACACACACATACAGAACCAGCACGGTGAGTTCCTAGAGGTCAAACATAATCAAACTGCTAATCTATCTATCCCCAGCATAATGACGAGTGCGTACAGAAAATACTCTATTTACAATAGAGGGAAGTCTGGTAAAGAGAGCATCAAGTTTACAATAGAGGGAAGTCTGGTAAAGAGATATCAGGTTTACAATAGAGGGAAGTCTGGTAAAGAGATATCAGGTTTACAATAGAGGGAAGTCTTGTAAAGAGATATCAGGTTTACAATAGAGGGAAGTCTGGTAAAGGGATATCAGGTTTACAAAAGAGGGAAGTATGGTAAAGAGGACATCACGTTTACAATAGAGGGAAGTCTGGTAAAGAGATATCAGGTTTACAAAAGAGAGAAGTATGGTAAAGAGATATCAGGTTTACAATAGAGGGAAGTCTGGTAAAGAGATATCAGGTTTACAATAGAGGGAAGTCTGGTAAAGAGATATCAGGTTTACAAAAGAGGGAAGTATGGTAAAGAGGACATCACGTTTACAATAGAGGGAAGTCTGGTAAAGAGATATCAGGTTTACAAAAGAGAGAAATATGGTAAAGAGATATCAGGTTTACAATAGAGGGAAGTCTGGTAAAGAGATATCAGGTTTACAATAGAGGGAAGTCTGGTAAAGAGAGCATCAAGTTTATAATAGAGGAAAGTCTGGTAAAGAGGACATCAAGTTTACAGTAGGGGAAAGTCTGGTAAAGATATATCAGGTTTACAAAAAGGGAAGTCTGGTAAAGAGGACATCAAGTTTACAGTAGGGGAAAGTCTGGTAAAGATATATCAGGTTTACAATATAGGGAAGTCTGCTAAAGAGGGCATCAAGTTTACAATAGAGGGAAGTCTGGTAAAGAGGACATCAAGTTTACAATAAAGGGAAGTCTGGTAAAGAGGGCATCACGTTTACAATAGAAGGAAGTCTGGTAAAGAGGTCATCAAGTTAACAATAGAGGGAAATCTGGTAAAGAGGGCATGCAGTTTACAATAGAGGGAAGTGTTGTAAAGAGAGCATCAGGTATACAAAAGAGGAAAGTGTGGTAAAGACAGCGTCTGGTTTATAACAGAGGGAAGTGTGGTAAAGAGAGCGTCTGGTTTATAACAGAGTGAAGTGTGGTAAAGAGAGCGTCTGGTTTATAACAGAGGGAAGTGTGGTAAAGAAAACAATATAAATACTCAGAAGATAGGTGTGTGTACAAACAAAAACCGCCATATTTACAGCACATACATGTGTGTGCACAGAATGCACCATATTTATATTTACAACACGCAGATTGTATACATAAAAAGCCATATTTACAACACGCAGATTGTATACATAAAAAGCCATATTTACAACACGCAGATTGTATACATAAAAAGCCATATTTACAACACGCAGATTGTATACATAAAAAGCCATATTTACAACACGCAGATTGTATACATAAAAAGCCATATTTACAACACGCAGATTGTATACATAAAAAGCCATATTTACAACACGCAGATTGTATACATAAAAAGCCATATTTACAACACGCAGATTGTATACATAAAAAGCCATATTTACAACACGCAGATTGTATACATAAAAAGCCATATTTACAACACGCAGATTGTATACATAAAAAGCCATATTTACAACACGCAGATTGTATACATAAAAAGCCATATTTACAACACGCAGATTGTAAACATAAAAAGCCATATTTACAACACAGAGATGTGAATAGACGGAAAACACCATATTTACAGCATAACGATGTGTGAGTGATTGTGTGTGTGTGTGTGTGTGTGTGTGTGTGTGTAGGAAACACGCTATTTACAACAAAAAGACGTGTGTGCTTGCGCGCATGCGTGAGAGTGGGTGTGTGTGAACATGTGTGTATGTGTTATTTTTACGTGTGAAAGCACTGCCCTATTTAAAACACAGAAATGTGTATGTTAAAGAAGGCGAGAAAATTTCAGCGTTTCTTGTATTTAACCCTATTATGTTTGTAATGCGTTCTTTTTTGAGACAGTAGACTAAGCTGTACCGAGTGCAGATTCAGAATTGCCATTTCAGAAGGTATCTGCATTATGAACAGACATGTCTTGAAGCACGTGGTGGCCATTTCCAACATTTGCTATCATTTACATTTCTTTGCTTCCCTAGAAATATCGTTAGGCCTTGGCAGTTGCTATTCTAACTAACTGAACAACTTTTGAGCACATTTTTTGATTACGTCATGTACTTCGTTTTTTGTTTCTTTTTTGTTTTGTTTTTCGTCACAGGACGGTCCAACATTTGAGAGGGTGATAAGACTGGGTTTCCGGCTTTCTAAAGCTTTTAACGACCCAAAGCATCTAGAACTTGCCCTTACCTCAACCCACCTAGGTCCCACGAGAAAGTGCAGCCTACGTCCCAAAACTGCATGCAGCCTTTTTACCAACCCCTGAAATATTATACAGTCCCGTGATCTGTAGATTTCCCCTGTTTTAGGTAGGATATTAAGAAAGCACTCGTTTTTCAAATTAGTTCTATGTACAAAATGTCGTTAGACTTTACAAACATCCTCTATAAGACAGTGGGAACCGAATGGGGAGGTGACATTATGTCACCCCTCTGCCAATAAATGACTATTACCCTATTAATCCACAACAAAATAGCACGAAATAAATTCCACCAACAAACATTCAAAGACCTTTAGATTTCTTCAGACGGCATTCAGTCTAAAATTCGCTTCCTGAAATCTACTTTCGCTGTCGGGATAATCGGAAAAAAATCCCATCGATTTTTCTTCTTCATATCCATTCATATCAGCAGATCTTTTCTATAGATTTATTTAGTCTTTGGCGAGCCAGGGCGGGAAACTTCAGGGTCTGGGCAATATCAAACACTTGTCGTCTGCTGTCAGGGGTCATCCTGATGAGGTCAACATGTGTTAAGGTCATCTTCTGAGTGTACATGAGTGATGTGGGCGATGGAAAAGGCTGTGAGGGCTACCAATGCGGCTCCCCCTCGCCCCCCCCCCCCGTCCCATAACTGGGTTTTTATATGACGCCTTGGGGAAATATGTTTTTTTTTTAACAATATATCCTTATATAAACGTCACAAATGTTTGTTTCGTTACTACAAATGTTTGTAGATTTTAATAATCTGGGTTTTGTGTGTGTGTGTGTGTGTGTGTGTGTGTGTGTGTGTGTGTGTGTGTGTGTGTGTTCTTTTTCTATGTATTGCTTGGGTTTTTGTTCAGCTAAGCTGGGTTTTTCAAAAAAATCTAATTGGCAGCCCTATGTGGAAGGAAGGGTCCAACAAGATAACAAGGAGATCTCTGGGAGGTCAGATGACCATAAAGAAAAGTGAAGGACCCTGTTCAACCATTTCAGGCGTACTAGGCATACAGGGTAAGACCTATATTTTATTGACCATTCGGCACTCGGTGGGTGATGTGGCCAGCATCATGCCGGCCGCCTTTACTTCTTTACTTCCCAGAAACTTAACGTTACCCATTAAAGGCTGGCAGCCAAAGTGATTTTTTAATAAACTTCCTTTCAAGCGGGACCTGAACCCACGACCTTCACATCCGCAGGCACGTATTTAGCCACAACACAATGGAAGCCCCCCCCCCCCCCCCCCCCCCCCCCCCCAAAAAAAATTAAAGGGGATCCGTTATTTTGCCTTTAACGACGTGGTGGCTCCCTTTAGGTAATATTTCTGAGTATAGCACCTCAACCAGTGTTCCTCAACTTTTTAACACCCACGGCCCACCAACAAAACGGGAAATTGTTTCGCAGCGCAACAACAAAACAGGAATTTTTTTTCTCCGGTGGGTCACTTGAAAACTAGGCAAACACACATACAAAACAAGGGGGTTTTCCAGTAGTCGTACCTGTTCAAGCCTCATATGAAATAAAATAAGTAGCAATGTGTGCACGAGGAAATAGAAATGGAGCTGGTAAGGAGGGAGGTATGAGAAAAAGAGAACGAGGTGTGTGTGTGTGTGTGTGTGTGTGTGTGTGTGCGCGCGCGTGTGTGTGTGTGTGTGTAAAATCAGTTTTCTACAAAAACATTTAGTATCTACACCTTTAGAAATTTGCAGCGGGAGACGGAGCATCAATGGATGTGCCCGGTGTGCTATGATGTCGATTCTTAAATCAGTAATCAGTGTTATCCATAAAGACTACAGTCGATAGGAGGCTCGCTTTTAAATCCAGCTGCGACTCGCTGCAGCCCACGGTCAGTTTTCGAAACCGGGCGGTTCCCGGGGTTCACCCAGCCTCTAGGAAATGGGTACCAGAGTGACGCTCTGGGGTAAATGGAGAAACGTCGCTGTAGCTACAGAGTTACGTGCAGATGACGACACAGGCGGACAGTTTCTTATCGGCTGTCCCGACTGGTGGCAGAGCACTTATGGTTTATTATCGCGTTCGATAACGCTGGTTCACTTCTTCCGACTTTACGTTTTTACTTCACCCCTAGAAGAGGAAACACTACCGCCTCTATCGATTTACTGGCTGGGTACACATTTATTGGCCGCCTATCGCGAAAATGAAAAAAAAAAATTAAAACCTAGACTGTTAAAAAGTACACATTTTATAGTTAAAAATCGAAAAGGCGTCAAATAAAAAAGATTTACCCATCATTGGCTTTTACCAGTAGGACATATATAACAAAAATCACCCCATCACGTCAGCCATGAGATTTTGATTCGGTTCCCATTCATGCCGTGGCGGTTCTAACGGGCTGTCCTATGTTGTAGAGGTGTTAGGATATGCGTTATTTCGCCTTCGCTGTCTAGAGACACCGTGCGGAAAGCCGGCTCCCGTTCTTTCGAAGCCTGACACGAAAGTGTGGTAGGCGTCACTAAAGACGGTGTGTATGTGTGTGTGTACGCCCGCGTGAGAGCAAGTGGTCAGCTAGTTTTCTTTTCCGTGTCGACTTGGTCTCTTGTGCAACCGTCAATGCTTTCAGAATCAGTTACATTTTCGGCTGGTCATGGGCCAGGTAACCAAGTAAGGCCGCCGTGACAGCGATTAGAAGCGAACTCACAACGCTGTAACACGGACACACGCGGTGCCGACTGCTCACCGCGCAAAAAAAAAAAAAAAAAAAAAAAAGAGCATGCTGGCTGCTGAAAACGCTGGATATAGAATGCTTATAGCGTTAAATAAGTCGATGCGAACGCTTTGTAATGCCGGGGTACCGCGTTCGATTCCAGCTGCGGGCCATACGCCTTGCGTTGGTTTTGAGAGTGGTATCAGGGAGCCGACCGTCCAGAGGTAATGGCAAACTACTGGAGGTAAATTTGCCTGGTGAAACCACACAACAGCCAGGGGCTGATGGGTTGGTTCTGCAACGTCCTGTAAAGGATATGCAACTAACTTGTTTATTCATAGCGTTGAAATTTAGTTTGACGTTAGTCTCCAAAAACAAAGTAGGTCAGTTTTCATTGACAAATTTGTTCGGCTGTTCTACTTTCCAGCAGGTTACGGGTGGGTTCCACCATGACCAAACTTTCCACTGTCTTGTTTGATGTCCTTGATGTACTGAATTAACGTTTTTATTCCGAGAAAGAGAATGTCTGTGACAAAAGTTGCAGCACTCTCTAAAAAAAGGGGGAGGGGGTGTTGTGTTAGACCCAGTATTTTTGTAGTGTTAAAAGCGCTGCCGTACTGAAATATACAACAGGAGATATCAGCGGCTTTGCGGAACACTCCCGTAGCAGTGTGCGAAAAGTCCGCATCTCAGGAACGACCAATCAGAAGTGTGCTAGTGTGTATAGGGTCTGGCTCTTGGGAGACTACCGTCGAACTAACCGCGTTGAAAATAGCAAAGCACGACACCCCTAGAATATAGGACAGCCTGTGGGAAGTCGCGCATGAGGCCATGGGGTGATTTTTGCGATATGTGGCCCACGTCCCATCTGTTGAAGAACACTGGACTAAACTAAACAGCTAACAACATACGCATGACAGAAGCGCTGTTGGTGAATTCTCCTAGTGCCTGTTTCTTTAGTCACCGCCTTCTCGTAAGAACGCGTAACGAAAATAGAAACCACATTCCGGGTAACTCAAATGAGAAGCTCCTGTTCTGGTTCGGTTTCTGTTTCTTTCACGCCATGGATGACACCAATGTCCCTAGAGAAGAAGGTGAAGGACAGATGGAGAGATGAGCACGCATGAAGGAAAGTAGGAGTGTAGTGAGATTGAGGAGATGGGCGTGTTTGGCATGTTGTTATTGCTCGAGGGGTGCATGAACCTGTGTGCTATGGCTCATTAAGCCCCCCCCCCCCCCCAAACCCCTTACGCCGCAGTAAACTTTAGTGGTTTAGTAGTCTCCTTAAAATTGTATAGACGCAGTGCTGGATGTAGGTATAAGCTAAGTGAGAGTGGTATGGGGCGTCGCAGGTCGACCCAGCTAACAATGGATACCAGGATGGCTGTCCTGGGGAAGTAAAGACGGCCAGCGTAATACTGACCACATTGCTTACCTAGTGCCGATGGCCTGAAAAAATATGGGCGCTCTTCCCATATACCCCATGCGCCTAAGGCGTGTCAAGGAATCTTTACTTTCACTTTCTAAGTGAGCTGGAGCTTGGAACCTTATAATCTACAGGAGCTTCAACATATTCCGTGTTTAACAGATGCAGTTTTCTTTTAATGTATCTTAAACTAAATTTTCGTTTAGTGGCGCCTTTTGTAGTTATATATTTTATGTGATTCTGCAAGCACGTTCTTCATTATAGT